ACTGTTCCATGCAGTATGTTTACATATAACCATTCATATTCCTGCAAGAGAGCAAGTGAAAATTCTGGCGACAGTGCAGCAAAATAGTTTGTATTTTATTCTATTTTGAGAACTCAATCAATTGTCTACGCTGGCTTCTGCCTATCATTCATGTTGTAAAATATGCCCACGTAATAATAGTTCATGCGGAATCAGACAATGCTTTTCTCTCCAAGGTAAATCATATAAAACTCTTGTTGAACTACTGTTGATGACTTTTCTTCATCAATGAAGTTCTAAAGCTCGGCATCAAATTTTTTATGAATGAACTGTATAGTATCTATATTTTACACTCCAGCTACCTGAAGGAGTTCACATTACTGTGGATACCTTTGACTGATCAAAAGTAACAAACATCTCAAAATGACCTTCAATACTATATAATAAGAAACAAAATATCAAACTGCTGATGAATATAGACTGAAATAAACTATATATATTTAACATGTTATTAAGCAGCATCTCACAAAATGAGTTTTCACAGTACACAATGTGGGAAATATGTGTTGTCATGCTATTATTTACTGTACTGTTTTAACAATTTCAAGCAAACCTGAAATCCTACACTAGTTTTTTTTACTCTCAGTGCATTCGATCTGTAGTTAGACATAGCCGCATTTACAGTTTTAACTACCAATTCAATAAATGGCACATATGACATTCTCTGTAACGGCTTATCACATAGCAGTAGCAGAGTTAAAATAATATACTTTACACTTGATTTTAAGCCATTTCTACCAGCCCTTTATACATGCATATTTCACATATTTTTAACCTGAACACTTTTCCTGGAACAGTAGACAGAGAAGCAAGCATTTTTAGCAATACCCCCCCCCACTAGTCCCTCATTCTCTTTGATGGACAGATGTATTCATATTAAACAAGTTCATAGATTTAATTTTTAGTTTCCTCGATTTGCCCCTCACCTATCTAGGAAATGATTTCTCTAGTGATAACTAAGACATTTTGGCTAATGAGAGAATCTAATGCACAATAGGAAAATTGTCACTACTAATAATATTTGCAGTTAGTTAAAGAAGGGAAGTGTATGATAATGTCAGACAGTTGTCCTTTAATAAGACACAGTTACACAATGAAATTATGTTGTTAATTTTGTTACATCACTGGATGAATTTTAAATTACTACATAATGATTCACAGATGCATATGTAATCCTAATAATATCCTTTTCGCTGGCTGAAGAGCCATCTCTACTTTGTATTGGGATCAAGAGAGGCAAGCTTGCTTTTACTCTTTTCTGGCATTTTGTGTCATTGTGGGTTATCACTATTTTGCTGTTATGGTTTCATTGCTTAAAGGCATTTTAGAACGTCATAGTCCTTCAGATAAACAGGAAGGGGGGAAATGACATTTCTTATTATGACAAATACTACAAAAATTAAGAAAGCAAAACAACAACAACCAGAAAAGCCTTTCATTTTTTATTTCATCAAACTAAATAGGCCTCTGTTTTTAAAAAACATCCTTCTTGTAAACTGGATTGGGCCATTCTCTGTGTGCAAGTCTGTATGTATGAGTGTATGTGCACACACACATGTTTGCGCCTGCGCATACTTGGACTTTACCAGATGAAGCCAAGGTCTTCTGGTCATTCTCGACCTGTCACTGATCAAAGTGGCCCAAAGAAGAACTCTCCTTTAAAAGATGAGATTTATTTATGCTCTTTGAGGTTATCAGCCATTATTTCTGTATGCAGAACAGGGTTGTCTCCTTCTTAAGGAGTAACAAACTTTTTTTAAAAAAAGTACCTAAGTGGAACCAGTATATTGGAAGGGGAAATATTTAAAATCATTTTAAAAAATGTAATTAGAAATCTTATTTGTCAGTCTTTCCCACTAATCCTAAACCTAAAACTTTCTTTGTATACTATGCATAATTATCTTATGGCAAGGATGATTTACATTTCCACAATGCAGCAGGGAACAGGGCAAGTAAGCAGGCATTTGTAGACTACCTGATGGTACAGAAAAACTTGCCAAAAATTATTTGCGGTTATACAATTATTTTATCCTTCTGAAAAGATTTAACACAGAATTAACTAAGGTTTTAGAGCTGTGCCAGGCAGCTATATAGCTTTCTGTGAGTAGGATAGAAATTTACCTGAAACTAAAATTACTATTTCACTGCAACCTGCAGGCAGCAAATATTTTATTACAGATAAATTATAAAGAGTCAATTGCTTGTATGTTACAGCGCTGAAAATGTTAAAAGGTATCCAAAGGTCTCACTAAACATTTTTTATACCCATGGCAAAACTTCTGCTTGCAATGGAAGTACTTTGTAGATCAGCTACTACTGCCCTTGAACAAGGAATAATAATAGTAAACATAATACTAAAGAAAAAATGATATATTTTCCCAAGCAAAGTCGTAACATCATCAAATAAAAAGATGAAGAGAAAAAATAAAAACATGTCACACACTTATAATGCTTTATAAAATCTTATGGCTGTCAAGCACATTTCCTTAGCAAACTATTTTATTTTATGGCTGCATAAACAAGTATATCTTAAAAGAGAATTAGCAACTGGAATAAGTTAAAAACTGTTATTCTTTGTCAGTGGAATTAACTTACCCTCTTTAAAAAAAAAAAAAACCTCCTACATGCATCCAGGCAGAACGTCTTGGACAGACAACATACTAACAACCCATGGACAAGAAGGCAAAGTACACACTTTCAACATAAATATGTTCATTGTTATCACCTTTACAATCCTACTGTGTCTGTGTATGTATTCCAGTAGAGTGATCCGCACTGATACAGCATCTGCATGCATTTAGCTATACACTACACGTATTATTATTCTTTTCCCAACACAGACTTGGAAAATAAACATGACCATATGTGTCCAGTGATGAAGGGAAAAGAAAAAGGATTTTAAGATCTTCTTCATGCATTAGCAAAATTAACAATAGGAAAAACAACAGCTGATTTCTGAGTGTGATGGTAATTGTCCAACAACAATTTTTATACATTCTACACAAGAGGATTTCTTCCTCAAGTTTCTTCCTCCCTTCCCTTTATGATATTAGATGTTCTCTAGGATTTCTAGCATCTCCTGAAATTTTAACAGTCTAACTCTGTTTTAAAAAGTCACACTCAGATGGATCTATCTAAAGCTATGTATGTGGTTCAACAGCAATTTATCAATGGATTGTTATCTCGCTCTGGCAAAGTTAACTCTTTTGCTGCCAAAGCAACTGAAATCCCAATAATTTAACCTGAATATTTAAGCAGCATTTTTTTAAAAGTGGGGAACACAAACCCCCATGGCAGACTTGTTAGGATAGGTTTTCATTCTTTTACTTGATAATGAATGTGAAAAACACCTAAAGACAGGAAATAATGCACACAGATTGTAAAACATACATTAGTGTCCTGTTCAAGATGTATGAAATGTACTTTTCAACTGAGATTTTTTTTGTTATACTTTTAAGAGCAAGCCATCACATATACGGAGTTGCTTATTTGGCTTATGTTGATTATATTTCTGTACAGTAAGCTGGTATCAGCTGTAAGCAGGGTCCCTCTACAGGATAGATCTAAGTATACCTTATTTGAATGCAGGCATCCTATGAAAAGAGCCGAGCTGTTTAACTCTATTCTGAACACAACTGTTGTATATTATAAAAGACATCCACAATTATAAAAATATATTTACACAGAGAGATGTTTCTTTTCTAAGCATTGCACAGCAAATCCTTTAAACTACCAGTAGCAATGTGTAGATACCTCCTGCTACAGCTAAGATACAAACGACAGCACTTCTAAGTTAATGGAATTCATTCATAAAAATTTTTAGCTCTGAAAAGCCAAACATTCACTGAGCAGTAACCACACATCACAACTTTTTGGTGTTGAGAATACAAAGCAACTTTTCCAAAGGGCAAACTCGTTTCTGAATAGGGCCACCCTGGCATATGCAATGTTTCCAAATAGATTTCCCTCCCATCTTTGATTTGGAGCCCGGTTCAAATATAAAGTTTCTTTCTTTTGTGTGTGAGGAAGATTTCTTTCTTCCTTCCTTCCTTTCATGGGTTTGTTTGTTTAATGCAGAAGAGCCAAACGGTTGAGAAAGACTAGCCACAGCACGCTGGGTGCGTATCACCAAGTGCGTGGTACAGAGACACCAGCAGCCCCTGTGATTAATTATCAGTTATTACTGACTGGCCTTGCAGTAACATTTTAGCTTTCCCGTCAGAACCGCCATACCAAGCTGCCTTAAACGCGGCCCCCGGTGAAGGAACTGCTCTGGGGAGAATGCCAAAACACAGCTCCGCAGAAACAGTGTGTGTGTATGTGTGTGTGTATGAGAAAGAGAGAGAGAGAGAGAGACCAGCAACTGAAACTGTCTCATCTAACGACCCTCAGCTCTTGTGCTGCTGGCAGCAATTCCAGCACAACTGCTCTCTCTCCCTCCTCAAGACTGCTTAACGTTGTTTTCTGCCACCTGAACTCAATTAGGCTGCTCTGAGGGGCCCCCAAAGTTTAGTATCAGTTTTGATATGGGGGCTTAACATATTCGGGGGGGGGGACTTCTTTCCTGGGATATTAAGATACTTTTCTTTTATGAAGGGGGAGAGAGAGTAACAGAAAGGGGGGGGAAGAAAACAAAAGAAAACAAAGGCAACAAATCAATCTACCATGAGTAAACGCTCCGCTCAGAAAACTTTTAAGAATTTAAAAGAGAAACTTTTATTATAAAGCCATATCAAGTTTTATATTTTCTTTTTTTTTAAGGACCCCTCAGGGATGCAGCAAAGTAAGCATGAACATTCCAACGACTTAGTTATGACACTTCAGAAACTGTGCAGTGTTAAATTTAAACAAAAGTGAAATGCAGACAGAGGAAAGTAAAACATATTTAAAAAGAGACACAGAGAGAGAGAGACCGAAAGACATACACTTCAACATGTGGCATTAAAGTAAAGTAAACATACCTGCTGGGACATTCTGAATAAGAGGTTAGTGTCAGCGTTCTGCCATGTCCCCATGAAACCAGGTTCGGTCGTTGCTGTTCTTGTTCCGAACTGCATGGAGTTGTCAGTGCAGGAGTCTCTTAAAGTCAAATCTCTTGCCCTCTTTCGCTCTGTGTGTCTCTGAGTGTCTCTGTCTCTCACATCCACTTCTGCCTCTTCTGACTGAAAAGTGAAGGTGGATTTTTTTTTGAGACTCTTGCCAGCCAGTAGCAGGAGTGTAGTGTAGTTAAGCTAGCTGCACTGTGCGTTTCATTTGGGAAGGGGGGCTTTGGGGAGGGGGCCAGAGCTTATTTCGCACCTTCTGCACGGATACCCCCTATCATTTATACATACATTGTGACTCCCCAAGCTCGCCTCTGCTTTGGCTTAACAGCTGCCTGTCAGGTGTGCAGGCAGGCACAGAGGAGACCCAACCACCAGCTTCATACTCTCAGCCACTGGATGTCATTGGATAGCAGAGCAAAAAGAGAGTCAAACTGCACTGTTCCACTGTCAGGCACCAAATGACATCGTGCACTAGCCTCCTCTCAGGCTTAAGAAACACTGATACACATGCACACTCTAAGGAGCATGCTGATCAGAGTGAATTCAGAAGAACAAGCTGTGGCCCTTTCCCTGTTTTTCTTCAACAATGCTGTCAAGAACAGCATGTAATTGCTGACACTTGCCTATTAAACACAGACGGTAAACCTCCTAACACAGAAGGGGAGAGGAGAGAAGAGGGATAACCAATTGCTCACCCAAAGAGACAATAGACATGCAGGAGAGCACACAAAAGTTGGTCTGGAGATTCCCCCCCCCCCAATCTCTCTGTCTTTTTAAAGATACTAGTTGTAAATAACTACTTTGCAATAATCCCATCCCCGTATTTTTAAAACAATAAAGCTCTTACCAAAAAAGAAGGATGTGGAAGGAAAAAAGATGATCTCCAACTTCTTTTAAAAATAAAACTGGAAAAAAATTGCATGTATGTTTCATCTCTCACATCTTGGTTCTCCCCTGTTAATTGCCTAAAATACTCCAAGGAGCCCAAATCGGAGGGCAGAGGAGTGTCTTTCCCCTTTTCCATAAAGATCAAAAGTGGAATTTTTTTTTTGTTTTATTTAAAGTTCCTAGATGAGGAATATACAATAACCTTTCATGTCAAAAAGGGGAGGGAATGGAATTAAATGAAAGAATACAGAAAAACTGTCCATCCAGCAAAAAGGATGGCATTTTTTTCTCTTTTAGGATCTCCAGCCTTAAATAGTTAACGTATATCATACTCATAAGAAAATAAAACCCATTGCTAATCAACATTTTTTTTAGAATTTTTGCATTTTTCTAGTCCTGTTACATATTTTTATATCTTAGGAAAAGCTGGAGGGAGGGGTGAGAAAGAGACAGAGAGACAGAGAGAACACCTACATGGATTACATAAACACTATAACTTCAAAAATGTAAAACAAAATTCATGCCCTCTCATAAAAGCAAGTCAGGTTAAAAGAAAAAAAGACTAGTTTTTCTCAACTTAAAGTGTAAGAAACATTCATCTTCTAATAAAATCTACAAATTTAGAGGACAAATGTACCACTCTCACAGCTTTTCCTTAACTGAAGAACAACAATAAACCTTACTCTCTCACAAAACAACAAAAGAATCGCAAGAAAGCTTCAATGGCAGCCTCGTGTCATTAGTGTGCAATGAGAAAAGATGAGAAAGCATACACTATGTTGACACAAATGTGTCTTCCCCTTTAGATCCTACATCTCCTGAAAGCTTTTCTGTTAAACTTCCCTCCAGTTCACAACCATTAAGCACAAAAAAAGTCTCAAAAGCTGCAAATTCAATATCTGAGAAACAAAACAAAAAAAAAGAGCCCAAAGAACTGTTGCCTTAAAATATATTAAGTCCACCTGTGGTCAATAAAAATATTCTTGTTGCATGGAACGAAGGGGGGAGGAAAACACCTATGAGTCAATTGTGCCAACAGTGGCTGTACCTTTACAGCTAGCTATTACCCACTTAAACTCCCTCTAAAATTTGCTAGCCTCTTGCTTTCTGAAGTGGTACTCAGTGCCTTAGTCAAGCTGCCTGCTCAGCTCCTGACCTTCCCACTAATGGCTGTTATTTGTGGGAGGCTTAAGGACAATGTCAATAGCTAGCTCCCTCCTCTCTGCATCTCTTGCACTCCGTCTCACCACCTCTCCTCCCCCCCCTCCCTGTCCTGCAGTCCTCTCCAATCCCAGAGAGATGGGGGGGAGAAGGGGGGGGAAACCCACGCACACAAAATCAACTGGCATGCAGCAGCAAGCACCTGCAGTAATAGACTCTTTTATTAAAACTGTTATTCTGCAAGACTTGAAATTCCCAGTGGACTGGGCCATGTCAAAGCCGATATAATTAACTAGAGGCTCAGCAACGGATCAATTACCAGACAAGCAAGTGATAGTGAAATCAATGAAAGATCATCAGCCACATTATCAGTGTTGCAACTCATTAGGGTAAAACTGAGAAATGTGCTCAAAGCGAGCCCAAGCAAGGTGGCATTACAAAACAAAGGGCTAATTTGGAGACCCTGCTGTGAACAATCTGTAACAGAATTAGCCTTTTTCCCCCCTAAACTGCACAGCTCTGTAACTAAATGTGACAGTCTGAGAGAAGCAGTTTATTAAGACACCAACTCCAAGTTTATTTAGTTCATAAACTCTCTCCTAGAAAATCAATACAGTCTGTACAGGGTTATTAGGCTGACTAGCTAATACATCCAAATCTGGTCTGCCCTGGCATCAGCCAAAAAGTCTACCTGCTGGAGGTAAGAAAGGCAACTGCAAGAGCATGGCCTCGGAAGAAGCCTACAGTGTAGTGGCCACATCACAGTACGCAATAGGAATACACTAGAGAGGGAGAAAGTGACTGCTAACACAATAAAAAGGAAACCAACAGAAGAGACTATTGCAGCATTCCTCACCACTAAGTACATTTAATGGCATACATCTATTAGAACACTAATACTTCTAATAGACATATTGAAACTAAAAAGTCAAGAAACACATACCAGATGTCTTTGCAGAATGGTGCACAAGATATCAGTCACTTAAGGGATGAGTGCAACATCTGCAGTAATGGGGGGGGGGAGAGACCAGTAAACCAAGAGTCTCGCACTGGCACCTTGCCTTAGGGATGTTTTGAATGTTACAGAATTACTGCGTGTAAAGCATTTGGCATGGACCCCAAGTGTAGAAGGTCACATGTGATGACTGCACAAGGTATGTTTTGCTGAATAGACATGTGGTGCACATACAGTGGGAAATACCACCCGTTATTACTTTTTGCTGTGTAGAAAGAAGCAAAATACACACACATGACAGTCAACATAAGACTGCATACTCATTCCTATGTGAAAGTGCTTTCTGTGTAGGAATTTTGTGACATGTCAGTGCCTTCTAATCTTCTGAAACAAGAGCAAAATCTGACATGTTACTTTGTTTTCCAATAATACGCTCAGAGTTAAATCCTTGATGTTAATATTTCCCTTTGAAATTAATTATTTCCCACTCCCTTTGTTTCAGGCAGATTTTTTTTAAAAGTCTGTCTCAAGCAAGCATAGGTGGTGGTTGTTAACTCACAAATTCAACAGACAATGGAGCATATTTTCTGCACCTCCAGTACTCACAAATGCTACAGATGAACAGCATGAACCACGAACTTATTACTACCCAATTTTTTTCAACAAAGTTGCAAAACTTATATTTTAGATTACTTTAAATGATTGCTAGTTAGCCATTTGAAATTCTTAAAAACGGCTCACTTGCATTAAGTAGTAATCTTTAATAAAAGCCCCATGAGATTTATCATATATAAAATGGGATTGATGTATCTTCAGTGGTAATTTCTTATAAATGTTTTTCCTAAAATGTTTGGTTCCCTCAATCACACCTCTTCCAATTCTAGATTTTTCACAAACTCTGAAATAATTTTGTAAAGCTTTTTTTTTTTTGGCCATCAAGTTGCATCCAACTCCACAGGCCTCTCAAGGAAAGAGACCTTCCGAAGTGGTTTCCCATTGCCTGCTATAATATATAATGGCCCATGGTGTCCTCCTTATCAATTTTTTAAAAAATACATCTGACATCACTGCAACTGGGTAATCATTGCCACTTTGTATTCATAGCCTATTTCCAGGTAATCCTTCCAAAATCCCTTATCCAATATCAACACCAATTATTTCTAATTGTATAATTTAAACATTACTACATTAAAACAATATCATTTCATAATTTACAAGAAAAAGATATTTTATTCCTTTCTGCTTGCATGAATTTATGAACATCAGGCATGTTATTACGTGCAACATGTGCAATCTTTAGGGTTCAACGTTATGTAAAATGCCTTGTAATACTGCAGATAGTAATCAAGAAAATAATTATAGAAAGAATTTCTTAAAGCCTACATGCATATAACCGTGTACCGTGCATGTACATTCAGTGAACTCCAATTAGCTGAAAAATTTGCATTTCAGTTCGCATGAGCTAACAAGGCTGTGGGGAGACAATGCAGTTCAACTAGCAGTATAAGAAAGAATCCTGTTTTCCTATAAGCATTAATTCCCACAACTGATTATTTTTAAACGTTACTTGTCTTTACAGCATTTGTTTCTCTAAAATCTACGGGCTCATGACAAATGCTTAGATTAAACTGTACACAGAGTAGTGTCCCATAGAGCACTCCAGGAGGAAACGGTACTGCAGTGACCATGCATTTTTATAAATACTATCTTAATATTTTTAAAAAGCATTCCTATTTTATGATTTTTTTCTTCTTCACTGGCTATGAACCCTTGGCCTATAGCAGTACAGAAGTTTTTCTGTAAGCAAATATATTTTTATATCTAATATACAAAATTTACACTGTAGTTCAAAACAGCAGCCAGCTGAAAAGCATGCCAAGCTATGATGAAATGCAGGAATATCAGAATTTCCCATCTTGCCCACTTCAACCAGACTTAGATGGGAGGAATTGCAACATCAACCACAGGTATAGCCCTGAAAACAGGATCTTGCACGAAGGTGAAAAACGAAGAATGGAGAGATGTAGGAGTTCCTCCTTTCACACGTTGAAGGAGTTGCAGTGAATGTATCCCTGCAATATACAGCACTATATTCACTAGTTCAAAAATGTTTCGGTTAATTGGCAGGGATGGAGCACACACTGTTCAGTATACCTTCCCAGTCATATACTAGTTTCCCAAGTATTCTTTATGCACCAGTGACTTACTGTACAGTACCTGTAATTCCCAGAGTTCAGTTTGCTGCAGCTGTTAACAGATTCTATAATATATAATGACAGTAAACTGGCCTTTGCTCTTTCCTTATTCACTATTCATTTTCTAGGCTTGCTTAAATAGATTGCTGGGTTAAAGATCACTGGTTTTTCATGTGACACACACTGGTATTCATCTAATGGCCTGCTAGGACAAAACTGTCCCTGTTCTTGCCAACATAATAAAAAGGTCCTCCACATCGCATGACAATCAGCCCTTACTTGTCTCTAAACAGCCAAGCTTAGATAACTTTCTAAATGTGTGTTTGGACTTGGTTCAGTGCAAGAGAGTTATGTGTTAGCAAACAGAAAGAAATATCATCCTCCCATGCTGAAAAATACAGACATGTATGTTTTCACATTATAGACTGGGGCTTTTTCCTGGGAGGTCAGTAAAGATTTATCAGGTCCAGGCTTTGTTTGGGCAGGATGAAGAGTTTTGGCCCTAAGAGCTGCTGTCAGGCTTTAGTATTTTGCCGAAATGTTTTAGCCTAATCATACTATCCTGTAAGTCATACTTTGGTTTTAGCCTCTGCTTTGAGATCAAGCTGGTAGCCCGGACTACTGCAGTGAGTCACAAGTTTCAGCACTACATGGAGAATTTAATATGGGCATGCACTGGCTTGTCCATT